ACACACACACACACACACACACACACACACACACACACACACACACATATATATATATATATATATATATATATATATATATATATATATATATATATATATATATATATATATATATATATATATATATATATATATATGAGTGATCACATGTGGCATATACATTAGGTGTAGTCATGTGGTCAAATAAGGGCAATTAGATGATTTCAATCCAACGTACAGGATTCTTACTTATTGGCGCGCCTATTGAATTAAAACGCATCAGATAGGGGCAAAACTGACAATTACCTTCTATTCAAACACTGTGTACTTCCTCCTTCTACAAGTCACGTCCATCCCATTGGTGCATTCACAATCCCAAAGCACCGAGAGAACCGCTCGACTTCTCTCACCGGCGACGACGTCTTCTCATCGCTTCACGAACGACGGCGAACTCTATCGACGATTACATAATCACAGACGAATAACTTGCTATCAAACACACCATCGCGTCGCAAGCGAAGCGCGAACCCTACACCACAGGCCCGTTCGACTGCGAAGCCTAACAATGGCGAACAAAGGCAAGGAACCAGCACCCAGGGGTATGAACTCAGTCTCTAAGAACACAAATCAATTTCACACATCGCTATATTTGAAATATCGTTAACTGTCAGTGTATTTTGTAATATATACTCGGAATAGAGCAAAAAACCTTTTTGTGTGTTTTATTTGATGATTGGTGTATACTAAATACGTATTGTAGTATTTACAGTGCCCTACATACTTCCACTCCTCCATATCATCTTGTTTTGTGCATTTTCATCGTCGTTCTATAATATATTTGAATAAGTACTGGTGTATTCTGAACTATGTCACTTGGTGTGTGTTTTATTTTGATATTGGTGTATTTTAACTTACCTTTGGTGTATTTTTTGGTTTATTTTACCTTGCATTCATGTTGTTGAATGTAGTGCATATTTCAATAAGTAATGGTGTATTCTGAACTACGTCACTTGAATACAGTAAACAACATTGGTGTGTGTTTTATTTGATATTGGTGTATTTTACCTTGCATTCATGTTGTTGAATTTAGTTCATATTTCAATAAGTAATGGTGTATTCTGAACTACACCACTTGAATACATTAAACAACATCGATGTGTGTTTTATTTTGATATTGGTGTATTTTACCTTGCATTCATGTTGTTGAATGTAGTGCATATTTCAGTAAGTAATGGTGTATTTTGAACTACCTCACTTTACTACAGTAAACAACATTGGTGTGTGTTTTATTTTGATATTGGTGTATTTTAACTTACTGTTGCTGTATATTTGGTGTATTTTACCTTGCATTCATGTTGTTGTATGTAGTGCATTTTTTATTCTGTATTGGTGTATTTGCAACATTGAACTTATATCATGCAAAAACCAAGAGGAAGGCATTGGAACAAGAAGAACCCCCATTAGCAAAACATATACGGAAGCAACAAGCCCTGCAATTCATTGATAAAATACAGACAGAGCTAGAATGTGAGGATACAGCGATAGAAAGTGACTCCAGCTCAAGTGATGAGGCAGACGTACTTGAGAATGAAGAGAAAGAAACTGGCCTAAAGATAAGACCCCTACCCACGCAATTAACAAACCCAATTGCCGCACTAACTGCTCGGCAACGCACATGCGTACGGGACATTGGGCTAGGAAGAATACTTGACCTGAATATTACCAATGTGCCAAGGAAGTTGGGGCTGTGGTTAGTTCAACACTATGATGCTAGGAGCAACACATTGAACCTACCCACTGGTGAACGACTCCACATCACAGAAAAGGATGTTGCTGCCACATTGGGGTTGCCGATTGGAGGCATAGAAATTGTGAAGAGGGCATCCAAACTCTTGACTGACTGGAGAAGAATCTTTGGAAAGGATAACGGCCACATCACCCCCCATGTTATGTCTGAGAAGATGTTGACACTAAAGGCTACTGGCCCTTAGTTCAAAAGACACTTTGCACTGCTTGTTATGAGTGTATTGGTTGAGCCCCAAGTCAATGACACTAAAGGCTACTGGCCCTTCTGATACATACACAGGAGTTTGTTGATGAGATTACTAGCAATACAAGGACAATTGAAACAATTTTACTGAGAATATCAAGACTGATTGAAAATGCACCTGCCGCAGTTTTGGAACATGATACATTCAAGCAAATTATTGAGTCTGCTAGACAGATGCTAGGATTCAAAGCACAGGAAGATGGACAATTGACATTTACCCAAGGAGAAGACGCCTACTAGAGTGACCCTGAGTTTCTGAAAGCAGTTGATGAAATTGTACGTGCGGTAAACAAGAGGAATTTCCTAAATGATATACCCTCTTTCAGCCTAGGCTTGTCACAAGATGAACCAAACAGAGGCTGGGCAGATGTGACTAATATTGCACGTGACTACCAGGATGTTAACGAAGCTGATGAACCTGCCGAAGTTCAGTTGGGTGTGGATGAGGATCAAGCAGCAAACAGAGCTCAAGAATGCACTAAGACAGATCAACAAGAACCTCTAACTGACCAAAATAAACAGGCTCTGCATGAGACTCGAGCAGATGACACCAATAATGAGGTAATGAACTATAATAAATCCAACATCACAAAAAAACAAAAACAAAAAAAAAAAAAAAACAAAAGAAAGTAACACACTATAAAAACTGATGCTCTCAACTTTGAATGTTACAGATCACACCAGAATGCCAAGGGCAGCCAGCCCCTGCATCAAGTCCACCCCCCCACCCCCACCCCAACCAGCAGACAAAGGAAAAGGCCCAGCTAGAGTGCATAGCCCAATTGGACGAAGACTCATCTCATACGTGCTTGACATTGACACACCATTATCTGCAACAGAGGAAGCTATCAGGCAGTGGGTATTGGAAAACCCTAACCCAGATCTGTAAGCACAACACACTCTAAAAAAGATGGTGTGCTGTTTATATATATTTGGTGCATTATATAATGATATTGGTGAATAAATATCCTATGCACATTGATGTGTTATTCAATGTGATATTAGTGTATAATACGTTAAATGTTGGTGTGTTTATACTAAATGATTGGTGACTGGTTGTGTTTTGTAACTAACATATTTCTTTGGTTTCAATAGGACCCAGCAACTATTCAAATATGAAGGAAGGGTAATCTACTGGAAAGATATGCTGTCAATGAGGCCAGATGCACAGATCCCAGTCTCTATAATTGATGCTTGGTCAGCCATAATCAACATTCATGAGTCAGAAAGGGGCTGTACAAAGTTCATTGCTTCATTGTGGACAACTGTGAATGGAAAATATAAACCTAGCTTCAACTTTAACAATCTTAAAGTTCTAACAAAAATACCATTACAATTTGCAGTTGTTCACAGTTGCGGACCCACAAGGAGATGAGGATGTTAGATTTGCAAGATTCAGATCAAAATACCTTGAAGACAAAACCATTGCAGGCGACGTTAGGTGGAACAACATTCTATACGTAAGATATTAATATACATATTAAGTGCTTTACATTTTCATACTAGTTGAATTTTGACTTTAGACATTTGGTGCATTCTATTATTTAGCTATTTGTGGTGCATTACTAACCATCCTTAGATTCATACTAACACCCCTAAAAACACATCTTTTTGTTATAACAGTTTTTGTTTCCAATCGTGTCATCCAACCACTACTACCTGCTTTCCATTAGCCCAATAATGGAAAGATTTGACATTATTGACAACTCTTCTGTCACTGTAAAGAAAGACAACAAGTATGGGACTGTGCTTGCTAATATGGTAACACACTAAGCCTTGACTGATTACATATATTTAATGCACAACTACAAGCAAAAAATACTCAAATTTGTATTACTTTGATGCAGCAAAAGTTCTTATCAAGGTTCTTGACTGACATAAAATCCTCATACAAGGCTGAGAAAGTGAAAAAGGTGAAATCTAAGATAATGAAAATGCCTTGGAGAGATGCACACAACAAGGTGGATTGTGGAATCTTTCTCATGCGCCATTTGGAGACTTTTCGAGGGCAAACGTATGAGCAGTGGCAGTGTGGACTTCAGAAGAACAACAAAGAGCAGTTGAACAAGCTACGAGTGCGATACATGGCTGCCCTAATCATGTCAGACTTAAATGAACACAAATAGAGGAACATTCAGCAAGCAGCAGAGTTCCGGGTTTGAGCAGAAAGTTAATGTGGAAGAAAGACAATGTGAATGGCTGACTTTGACAGATTTTTTTTTTTGTGGTTTGTGATGACGGGCAGCTAATGTGACCTCTTTATGTATGCTTTTTGAACTATAACAATGCACCCTATGATATAGTAAAACACACCATGATCTACTATAAAATGCACAAATACTTCTGTATTATAAAACGTCTACACACCTGTAAAATACACCAACCACACAAATAAAACACAAACCAATGTTATTTATTAAATTCAAGTGACATAATTCAGAATACACCATTCTGAATGAAATATACACTACATTCAACACCATTACTGCAGGGTTGAATACACTAAAAATACAACAACACTTGGTAAAAAAAAATGCGCAATATAACGCACCACGATATGTGTGAAAACGCACCATTATGTATTATAAAATGCACAAGTCCAAACATATTTCAAAATCCTGATTCTCTGTTATGAAACGTCTACATGCCTTTAAAATACACCAATCACACAAATAAAACACAAACCAATTTTATTTACTGTATTCAACTAACGTAATTCAGAATACACAATTTCTGAATGAAATATACACTATATCAAGTTGAACTACGAGGTGAAATACACTAAAAATATAGCAATAGTATGTAAAAGCACACCACGGTATGCGTCGAAACGCACCGTGATCTATTATAAAATGCACAAATCCAACAATGTCTAAAAAATCCCGATTCTATGTGTTATAAAACGTCTACACAACTGTAAAAACATCAAATTCCACAATATAGACCAACTTAGAAAACAAACACATCTCTAGCCATTTAATGGGCACGTCCTACTATTATGACCATATTCATCACAAGTATGGCATTTCCTTGATTGCTTTACACACTTATTCGCAGCTTTCTCCCTTGCACTCTTCATCTGCTTCCCGCTGCCCTTGTTCTTAGCTTTAATTGGATCACGCACCTCCACTGTTGACCCCTGAGACACATCACCACAAAATGATTTAATCACACTTTCCTTGCTGCTACCAGCTACCCCATTGTCATCCTCACACCCATCTTTGAGAAAAAACTCCCTTTGCTCACAAATAACACGTCTTAGTTGTTCCAACCGTTCTACATTACCATCAGCCAATCCCACGCAAGCATATATTTCAGACCACATTAGATTAGTAAGCACCCTATGTGACACCCCAAAAATCCACACTCCAAACCATGAATTAATTGAGTAATTAATTCTATTTCTTTTGAGGAATTGATTCCTAAAATCCTGGTTTTTTTTATACTCAAGGACTAGTATTTGACTAGTCAATCTTTAAGTTGTGTTGTACCTTGTGCTTTGAGAGGAGTTCCCTTGTTCCTTACACTTTCTAAGAGTTAGTAAGGGTATCCTTGTCTTTTCACCAAGAGCTAGTTTTGTAACCTAAACCTAGAAGACTTCTTCATTTCATTCCCTTACACTTCCTAGAAAATATCTCTACCTTCTCTCTAGAAAACAAGAGTAGCTTGTTCTTCAAGCCAAAAGAAGCCTTTGTCAAGATTCCAAGTTTTGCTTCCAAGATTCAATCTTTCCTCTATTTTGGCATCTAGAAGGGTAAGATCTAAGCTTGTCTAGTCTTTTTGGTTCCATCTTGGTTGTCTTTTTCTTAAAGGTTGGATCTTTATGATCTTTTGGTTTGATCTTGAAGTGGGTTTGGCTAGTGAGCTTAGTGGAGAGGCTTGTTGTGGTGTAAGAAGAGTCTTTTGGTCTTCAAGAGGTAACCCATGCTCTACAAAACCTATTTTGCTTACCTATATATGATTTCTTGGCTTCTACTTGTGTTTTGCTATGAAATGTGAGAGTTTATGCATTTATCTTGTGATATTGCATATCTAGAGCTTGTGTTTAGGTTTCCTTTGTGCCATTGCTTGGCATTTTCCTTGGTTCAAGTCATTTTGTTGTGCTTGGTGAGTTTTGGCATGTTTTGGACTTGAATTTGTGTTTGAAGGAGAAAATCCCCAAAGGGATTTGTTGTTGTACAGGGATGTACCCGCGGGCGGAACGGCGGGCGGGGCACCACCCGCCGGCCTACCCGCGGGGAACATGTGCCTTGTGGGTAGTGTACCCGCGGGCGGGACCAATGGTGGGGCACTACCCGTGGGTCCACCCGCGAGGAACACAGTGAAGTTGGATCGAGATTTGTTCCCCGTGATTCGTTTGTCTTGGTCTTTGATCTTTTGGCCTTCCGTTGTTCTTTTGTGGAACTATTTGAGCGTCTTCTTGATGTTTCGTAGGTCTAGAGCTTTATGGTAGGTATCCATGTAGGATCTTTGGTGTTGTGTATCATGCTAAGTGTTCAACATTGTGTTTCGTTGAACCGTGTGGTGTCTTGAGTGTTCCTCGGAACTATCTTGAGTTTCCTCGTTGTTGAGCTTGCTAGTTATTATCTTAATGCTAGCGTCTTTGCAATCCGTTGTTCGTTTCGTGTGAGTGGTGGTGCGTGTGTGGCTTTACCTGGATTGCACGATTAGTGGTATGGAACGCTAGTCACCAAGGTATTGCAGCGGTCCTCGTGGTGGCCGTGACGTGATTTCATGGAGTTGTGGCTGAGTCCACGTGTTTGGGGGATAACATTGTGTTATCCGGGCATGTGTTGCCGTGAATTGGTGGGTTTTCGTTGGTGGTTATAGGTGGGGGACGACGGTCCCGGAGGAATAAGGTTAGACTTGGCTGTACAGGGGCTTTCTGGAGGTAATGGTTGGCACCGAAGGTATAAGGTTGGGGGTAGCCATAAGGTTGGAACAGGGCATAAAGAAGGCATATCAACTCGTGATGGGTGATGTCACGAGGGCTTGTGAAGCCGTTGTTGTGGTGAGTTCTCTTCTCTCGTGACGTGTGTAGTCACGGAGGCTTGTGGTGTGGTGTTTTGGCATGTGTTGCCGTTGGGTGAGTCTTTGTCCTTGTGTGTGGTTAATCTTTGTGGTTGGGATGTGTTCCCGGTTTTATCCTTGTGAGTGGTGAGTCTTGTGTTGTCTTTTGATCTTGGCTTTTGACTTATATATATGTATTCCGTTTCGAAAATGGTTTTCATATTATATATCTACCTATTTATGATACTTAACGGTATTGGTGGGTTACCAGCATCTTTCGCTGACCGGGCGTCGCCCCGATGTTTATCTTTGTATCTTTCAGGTGATGCGTAGTCGAGCGCGATGTCTAGAGCTGGTAGCTTAGCACCTGTACCTTTAGACAGTGTTTTTGAGGCCTGTGTGCCAATGTCTTTAGATTGTTCTAGTTTGTTGTTTTTGGGATAGTGATACACTTGCAGATTGTCGCCGTAGCGTATGCCAAGTGTGGTGTACGTGGCATAACACCCCGTTTTGGATTCCTTTTATCCAGTTATCTTTCTATCTTCCGCTGTGCTAGTGTTTTGTTGTTAATCTGCATGTGTTAAGACTTGTTTTTAGGTCTTGTTGTTTTGGGGGTGTTACACCCTAACATTATCCACTTTAGCCGATTGATCAACAACCGTATCATCAATATCAAATATTGGCTTCAAACAAGCACCCTTTGTCCACCGAGACACCAGATACATAGAAGGAATTCTCTCAAGTCCACGATCTTTAAACACAAAAAAAAATATGCCTACACACCAACCCCATCCGCTCAAACATCTTGCATGAACAAGTAGCAGTAGAGTCAGCCAGCAAAAACTCCACACACCATGCCTTCTTGTCACCATCTTTTATCCCATAACACACCTTAACATCACACTCACACAAAGACACCACTTGACAAGAAAAACAACCTTCACAAATCTCTACTTGCACATCATAAAATACAGAAATGGTATAAACATCCATTGCATGCTTCTCCAGCGCCAATGGGGTCTTCAAAACAGGAAAACAAGATTCAGAGTCAGCAGTCAATTTTGCTTGTGCATGTCGTTGTGCACTAATAGCACTATCAAAATGCACCAAAAACTCAACAAAACTGGAATGACCATTCGAGAAACTGCAAAAAAAAAAAAAAAAAAAAAAAAAACTATTTTGAGACTCTGATCGAGACGTTGTCCTAACAAATCCTGACATAAACTCATCATGAAAGTATGGAGATGCCCAGAATGTACGAGACTCAAACAAGTAACGAAACCAACCATTATCAACCAAACCATATTCCTCTATAATACGACTCTATGAATCCTCAAAAACTTTGGAATCTATAGATTTGTTCCAAACAATGTCATTCAACTTCCTCCTAAACACCTCGTCCTTAGCTAAAACCGGTCCAACCTTCTCACCAACCTTGCACATTATATGCCACATGCAGAATCTATGTTTTGATGTACCAAACACACAAGCAACTGCAATCTTGACAGCTGGATCTTGGTCAGTAACAACACAAATAGGTTCATGACGCATAATTGTCTTAAATCTCTCCAAAAGTCACACATATGAGTCTACGTCTTCCCTCGTAAGTAAACCAGCACCAAATGTGATAGATCTCTTATGGTTATCGATTCCAATAAATGGAACAAACACCAAATTATACCTACAGAATGCACAACACAACAACTACTGAATACCCTAAGTATAACAAAAACACACTATATGACATCGAAATATGCACCAGAATATTATACAGAATACACATTAACTATAAATTACTAACCTGTTAGAGCGGTATGTAGCATCGAATAGAACAACATCACCAAACAATGCAAAATTCTTCCTCGATACTGTATCTGCCCAAAAAACGCTTGTAAGCTGATCAACGTCATCAACATCATATTCAAACTCAAAAGCCTCGCAAAATTCACGCCTTTTAAGAAACGTGTCTATGAATAGTTGAGCATCACAATTCAATATGTATGCCATCAAATCACGCTTGAAATTCTTAAAATCTACCGCAGTAGCACCAACATTGGAATACTCACCCACAATCTCCTTAAATAGCTTATACAACTGAACATAACCAATATTTGCCCGAACACAACTTGCAATGAACATTTGGTGGCCAGCATCAAGACTACGATTCACCTTTAAAAATTGCTTAGCAATGATTGAACACATCACATGAGTGTGTCGTTCCTCCAAAAAATGCACAACGTACAATCCATTAGACTTAAGCTTAAACACCACCTTAGCCTTGCACCCAACCCTATTTGTCACCCTCCGTCTCTTCACAACAATGGGTTTACCATCACCAACACACGTAGATTGTGTACTATAAATACTCTGTTTAAACCCCTCTCGACTACAAAATACTTGTCTCTCCACAACAACAGCATCCCTCCTCTTCCGAAGTGTACCCTGCCTATAATCAAAACCAACAGACCCAACATACTGTTTATAAAAAACAATAGCACCATCCAAGGAATCAAACGTTTGCCCAACAACAGGCTTCAAACTATCAGTACAAACCGGAAGCCAATACTTAGTCAACCCAGGAGACATTTCCAAATCACATGCATTGTCTTCTACCCCACCGTCGGTCGAACAGTGTTCATTGGCGCCCTCACCACAAGCCCCTACGGCAACATCAGTTGAATTACCTTCATCACACTGACCACCACTTCCTTCTACACAACCATCAATATGATCACCTTCATAACAAACAGCACCGCTGCGATCTACACCACCATCAGTGGAATGCTCTGCAATGCAGACACCACCACGGCCTTCTACACCAACATCAATGGACATATCTTTATCACAAACGAAACCCACAAAGTCCAAATTAACAACTGCACACCACGTATATATAATAACGCACTAAATAACCCATGCATTACATCTGGTAACTACAAAACACACAGAATACTATACTAACTTAATATGCACCACAATCATGCAAATTCCGCACTATAATCACACAATAACACACAAACAATAACAACAACAGTGACTTATCTCACCCCTAGAAAAATATCAATCCAGATAAAAAACGATATAAAAACATCCATGACATAACAAACGCATATTATTATCAACAAATTAAAATTACAAACATCAATAAATCAACACATACCATGATCAACTTCATCACAAACACCACCACTGCGAACAGTGGAATGCTCTTTATTGCAGACACCACCACTGCCTTCTACAACAACAACAATGGACGTACCTTTATCACAAACGAAACCCACAGAGTCCAAATTAACAGCTGCACACCACATATATATAATAACGCACTAAATAACCCATGCATAGCATCTGATAACTACAAAAACACACACAATACTATACTACCTTAATATGCACCACGACCATGCAAATTTCACACTATAATTACACAATAAGACACAACACCATAACAACAACAGAGACTTACCTCACCCCTCAGAAAAATAACAATCCAGATAAAGAACGATATAAAAACATCCATGACATAACAAACGCATATTATTATGAACAACTTAAAACTACAACCATCAATAAATCAACACATACCATGCTCCATCACGCAAATCCAAAAAATCCCTTATTGAGATATCTCAAATTGCCCGGTATACTCAAATTGCACTATCAACTGATCTCCGGCGACCTTCTCCCGCTTGCGATGTGATCGCGACCTTGATCTTCTCGAAATTTCGATGCGATCGCGATCTTGATCTTCTCTTCTCCAAGTTGTTGATTCCCTCTGTCTGAGTTCAAACATATAGAATATAATACAAATCACCTTATATACATTCACGTAACCAGCTATATAAAATTACATAACTACCCCACTTACCAAATCGCGACCAATTCTTCCTTATTTAAAAAAATAAGCCTCTGCCGTTAGAATGCCTTGATACAATGGTTCAGATATAACCACACTGCAACACCTAACTACACTGCCACAGCGTTTTTCTATATATATATATATATATATATATATATATATATATATATATATATATATATATATATATATAATAAAGTTCAAATGCGACGGGGTCTTCCCGTGCGGCGGTGCGGTGAAATTCCAGAATACACCAACAGTGTTAACAATATGCACCAACAGTGTAATAAAAGCGCACCACAATGAAATGCAATAAAACATCACAAAATACACAACAGACTCAAAAAAATACACCATATAACTCACCACCCCAATGGTGTATTTCCGAACAGTGTATGGTGTTTTTACTCACACCTAATGGTGTGTGTTTGGTGATGCGGGGCTCTGTTTACTCTGTTTTGTGTTGTGTATTTTCCTAACGTTGATAGTGCATATTTGTTGAACTATTGGTGTTGCCGCACCGTAAGAAATCGTCGCACCGTAAGACACTGCCGCACCGTAAGAAATCGCCGGACAGGTGCGGCAGTGTCTTACGGTGCGGCGATTTCTTACGGTGCGGCAACACCAATAGTTCAACAAATATGCACTATCAACGTTAGGAAAATACACAACACAAAACAGAGTAAACAGGGCCCCGCATCACCAAACACACACCATTAGGTGTGAGTAAAAACACCATACACTGTTCGGAAATACACCATTGGGGGTGGTGAGTTATATGGTGTAATTTTTTTGAGTCTATTGTGTATTTTGTGATGTTTTATTGCATTTCATTGTGGTGTGCTTTTATTACACTGTTGGTGCATATTGTTAACACTGTTGGTGTATTCTGGAATTCCGCCGCACCGCCGCACGGGAAGACCCTGCCGCATTTGAACTTTATTATATATATATATATATATATATATATATATATATATATATATATATATATATATATATATATAATCGCACTCAGGTGCGAATGCTTCGCCCAGGCGCGAAATAGGAATGAATTCTGTTCGTCCACGTGTCCAGGTCTAATGGATGAGAAACACTGATTTTTTTAAAAAACGCGGTGGCATTTTCGTAAATAATTGAACATCGAAGTGCAAGTAAAATGTATTACAAGTGCATGTAAAATGTATTATAGGTGCAAGTAAAAATTTACACTGAGCATCAATACTTAGTTGCACCTATCGTTCTAAGTAGTTGCACCTATAGTTCTAAGTTGTTGCACACATAGTTATAAGTAGTTGCACCTAGGTTTATGAATGTTTGCGAGTGGTTTTCAGGGGTATTACTACCTGCTGAACTCAGATCAATGAATGTTAACAAGGCAAAATTACATGCACTTATAGGTGAAAGTAGGTGCACCTATAGTTATAAGTAGTTGCACCTATAGTTATAAATAGTTGCACATATAGTTATAAGCACACCCAGGTGCAAAATTACATGCACTTATAGGTGAAAGTAGGTGCACCCATCTTCTTTTCTCCCACTAGCATGCCATTGCAAATTCTTCGCATCCTTTGCATTTGCAAACAAACGTTTGAATCTTGGAATCACCGATACCACAACAACTTCGCTGGAGGACCTTTCTTCTGCTCACATGTATCATCGAGCCCTTTTTGTTTATAACGCGATGCTCCACACTTTGGACACACATGCAAGTCCTTGTTTTGATTCCAATACAAAATACAGTCGTTTGGACATGCATGGATCCTTTCAATCTCCATACTCAACGGACAAAACATTTTCTTTGCCTCATAAGTTGAACAAGGAAGTTCATTCTCATTTGGAAGCATGCCCTTTAAAAGCTCTAATAACTCCGTGAAACTCTTATCACTCCACCTATTTTTCGCTTTTACGGTATACAATTTAAGCACTGCTGATAACTTTGTAAATTTACTACATCCAGAAAACAAAGGTTTTCCAGAACTCTCAAAAAAACTTTCAAACTCTTGAGGCATTTCATTCAAATCCCCTTGCATATCCCGCATCAATTCATCTAGCCGATCATTGTCTCCATCATTTCCAACATTATCTTCATTACTTTGATCTTTCTCTACATTTTTTCTACATTCTCTTTGATTTGTACTGTTACTAGTAAGGACAGTTTCACCATGCCATATCCACCGGTCATATCCTATCTTAAAACCACGACGTATCAAATGTTCCTTAATTTGTTCAGAACTACGAAACTTTTTTAGATTTCTACAATCATAACAAGGACACACTATATAATTTTCACCAATTTTACTTGCATATTCCTAGGCAATTTTAACAAACTCTTGAACCCCATGAACATATTCAAGTGTATTGTGTTTTTTATACATCCAACTCCGATCCATATCTCCTATATATTGTCACACAACATTTAAGAAATGATAAATGAGTTAGTTTCTTAAGTTATAACTTAAAGGTTCAAATTAAAGCTTTAACTAAATAATTTTAAATTTACTAATTCATAAGATAATGGTTGGTCAAATATGATTCCAACAAAATAAGCGAAGTACTTTAGTAATTACAAGTTCATATCATATTTTACTTTTTCAAAAATAAACATCATATTTTACAATAATACACAACAAATTTGTCAACAATGCCTAACATATATAATAATACACAACAAATTTGTCAACAATGCATA